TCAAATGAAAGCAAATAAATCACACGGAGGTCAATTTGTCTTTTCTCAGGTTTTGAACCCTGATTTGGAGATAGCAGACAATGCCTTCCCTCCACCTCGCATGGCACCATCCAACCTCAAGCTGTTGGTGAGTGAGCATCGTCATGTTCTCCTTCATTCGTGGACCTCATGATGTGTCATTTAAAGGAGTCATGACCTCCTCTTCCCAATAAAGGAGGGAGGCTGCACTACCCAGAAATAGTTTGTTATCAGAAAAAGGTCAGTGCTGGAATGAGGGCACGAACTGACGGTAACCCATTACCTTAAAGACAAATAACATGTCTGTTGCATACTTAACCTATCAGACTGCATTGGCGGAATAACTGTTTGATGACTAAAGATGCTTTATTTGTGTGTTTGTGTGTGTGCGCTTGTGTGTGCATGCCAGGACAAGGAGGTGAGGGCGGTCTTTCTCAGGCTGTTTGCACAACTCTTCCAGGGCTACAGGTCTTGCCTGCAGCTCATCCGAATCCATTCCGAACCCGTTATTCACTTTCACAAGGTATGAAAATGACATTGTGGAATTTCCAAAAGTAAAATTGTACAAAAACGTAACTGTCAGATATATCACCTTCACCGTATCTCCTTAATTAAGCGATGTGTCTTTAATCTGCCAAGAATGTTTTTTTGAGAGCAATCTGGGTGGAATTACAATTAAACCCGGGCAGATAAACTTGTCAGAAATGTATAATGTTTGTGGGTGCATGTTGTATAAAATGTGTCAGGAGTCTCTTCGTTGATGCTATCCTGGGCAATGTGCCATGTGAAACGTACTACGTTTACATTTTTGTTTTGTGTGGCCTTTTTGTTTGTCCATGCCTGTGGTGTCTCCGTGGTAACCCATCAGCACATCATCCTCACAGTACCCCACATGGATCACATTATAAACAAAAGCTTGAGTTTATTTGTCTGGTGTCCCTGAGTGGGGAAGACTTGGGCGAAATGCGTTTTATCCCCTTTTCCCGCAAGCACAAATAGTTGTGCAAGCAAATTAAACTAATTTGCATTTCTTTAAAACAGGATTTAATTCTCTGTTTGAACATGCTGAATAACTTACCCATGTTTAAAACAATTAAAGGCTCACTCGCTGGGATGTTTTTTTCCTTTTTAAGAATGTGCATTCACATTTTAAAAACTGCTGTGATTATTACGTTTGTTTTTGGGTCTGCAATAAATCCATCTCAGCGAAAAGACTCCCATGGCTCCCATCTGTGTGGGCTTGCAACTGCTCTAATTCTTCATCTTCCAGACTGCCTTCCTGGGCCAGCGAGGCATCATTGAGAACGACTTCCTGACCAAGGTCTTGGATGGCATGGCCTTCGCTGGCTTCGTCTCAGAGAGAGGTCCACCTTACCGCGCCTGTGATCTCTTTGATGAGGTACTGCAGCACATTTTAGGAATAAAAAAATGAAAAGGTGGAAACGGATATTTATGTAAGCTCGGAAACCATATTTGATGTTTTGCTGGATCTTTTAAATTGAGGTCAGCATGTGTTATGACAATAAAAATCAGTTACACTGTCACACAAAAGTTTCTTTTTCAATCCCTGGGCAAAAATTCTCTGCAGATCAACCAAAATGAAAGCATTTAGCCTTCTTTTCAGCATTGCAATTAAGTTTAGCGGGTAAAATGATTTTGAAAAAGTGGACAAGTCCAACTGAGTAGATCAGTTTACCAAGATTATAGGCCTTAATTAGCCTGTTAGAGCTATGGCTTTCGACAAGAAGTAGATCTGCGAAAGTTTCCTGCTCCTTTTCCTAACATACTCAGACCAAACTGAGATGGCTCAGCACAGCATCACAGTGTGTAAACTTAGATCACTAAAGCATTCAACTGTAAATTAATTATATTCTTTCTCAAAATGTTAAGACTTTTATCATCTTTATATTACACAACAAGGTCGAATTCTACTTGATAAGTTGTTCAATTATAGTACAAATTGTGATCTGAGGTGTTCACTGCATTTCTGCTGGAAATTACATTGTTTTCCTCTTTGCAGCTGGTGGCCTTAGACTCTGACAGCTTTAAAGAAGAGGAGCTTTGTACTGCCAAGCTACAGAAGCACATCAGGGAACTCTCAGAGCAGATGTACAGAAATGTAAGGCATCGTGGAAGTCATTGTAATTCCATCTTTTCTTGGACAGGCTATTGTTTCACTGTACACTTCATCTTAGCTCTGCACACACACTCCGGTGTCCGTTCATCAGTAAAGTTTTGTGTATTTTCCCTGGGCTTTAGGAGAACCCGAACCCCCACATGGCTTTCCAGAAAGTGCCTCGACCGTCTGAAGGGTCCCACCTGCGAGTGCATCAGGTACCCTTCCCCCTGCTGGACGATGAAAAGGTGGAGAAGCTGCTGCAGGATGGTTTAGCAAAACACAGCAGCGCCCCTCCTTCCACACGGCCCGAGAAGAAGTGTGTTGTACCTGCCGGACCACCTGTCGGTATGACCCACTTTAAACCCCACTCTTTCCACGACATGGGATCACGCAAACATCTGCTGGAGGAGCTTTCTGTAGGGTCTTTCCCGCGTATGAAACATGTCTTCTGTTTTTTGTTTTGTTTTCCAGTTGCCTTTATGGGGAAGAGTGGCTCTGTGTTTAACAGCGCTCGTAGGCTGGAGGTCGTGAGGAGCTGCATTTCCTTAATCTTTGACAACAAGACCCTGGAGACGGAAAAGGTGATGCACACTTTCTTTCATCAGAGGCGCTAATCAACCATTAAACAAGCTCATTTACCAGAGGTATCCTTCCTCTGAGCTGCACCAGACCAGCAAGGCGTTACGGAGCTGCAAATCTCCCCTAACGTAATATTTCCCAGCTGGTACTCAAATGCCAGATTAGAAGGGTCATTATTCATAGTCTCTCTGAATCGTTCCTCAGCTCAGCCGATTGCATGAATCTATACTGTACAAAAATCTGTCCTTACTTTCTTCTTCACGAAGACCCAATCTAGTTGGGGTCAACGGTTAATACTCTATTCTGTATACCATTTTCTAAACGGGATAGTTGCCATTGACTTTATATATCCCTCCGGCTTCATATAGAGTTATATAATCCAGGCCTGTACACTGCACATAATGCAAGAATGCATAGCAGACCGTCTCCACACTCCAAGGTGAGCCTGTAAATCCTTGAATGCCAAATTGTCAGTTGAGCAGTAACTGCCACACAGCGGGTCAACACAGATCCTGTCCACTAAAGTAGTCGATTAATGTTTTCTCATTTTCTGGAAAAATTAGTTTCTGCATTCTAAAAAACTAAAAACTCAGGTTGCTTGCACTGAGGAAGGTCGGGTACTTCACCGTTGCACACCCTTTTCTTAACAGACGCTGCCTGCTGCACTGCGTGCACTGAAAGGAAAGGCGGCTCGCCAGTGTCTGACCGATGAACTGAGTCTGCACGTCCAGCAGAACCGCGCCATACTTGACCACCAGCAGTTTGACTACGTCATTCGTATGATGAATTGTGCCCTTCAGGTAAAAGGCCAGCTGCGCACCACAGTCTACAGCTTACTGCACTTGAACTGTATACTGTACAGGTCAGGGTGTTCCATATCTTTAGTTTAAGACTTAATAAGTCATTCATGTAGTAAGAGAGTTATTTATTATGTATAGTTGTACATGTCTGGTTGCTCCCCTCCTCCACTGACTTTGGTTTGTCATAAAATTGAATGCAATGTTCTCCATAAAAGACTTAAAAATGAATCAGGGCAGGAGGCTACTTTTTAAACTCTGCCTGACTTTGGCAGTATTTCGTAACTTTTCAGTTAGGCATTGCATGAGCAAATGGCAGCTGGATAAATACTAACAATTTGCCAAGTTGGCTGTCATTGGTTAAGAATATTGTATGATCCCCTTTTTCCTTTTTCACCTGACATGCTTAGAGCTTTATCCAACGAATTAGTGCACAGTTCTAAACTATTTCACTGTATCCACCTACAAAAGCGCAATAACTAAATAGTAATTCACTATTCACACACAGTCACCAAAACATTTAATGACAGCTTAACTTAAAACATCACTATTGATTTTACAGGTGAGATGTTTGTAGTGTATTTTTTGTTTCTACATACGTAAAGACTTGCGTGCGTTGGCACCCTCTAGCAGTAGCGTTCTTTATGAGCTCCTGGTCCAGGGCGGTAATGAAGTTTTAATTTACATTTTATCTTTGTAATGTGCAGCTACCATTGTCTACTGTAAGTTTACCCCGTGACAAGTTTGTAGTATTCTACATAATCTCTTCTGAGGTTTAGCTGGGTTCTGTATGCTCGACTGTATGGTAAACGAGGGGAAGTTTGGACACAGACCCCCTCATCCCCCTCCATCCCCCCGTGCTTGTGCTGCTTGTCTAAATAAGTTAGTAATGTTACTGCGCAGCTCATAAAGACTCAATGAACCTTTACTCACCCAGAGCAGCCGGGTCTTTATTGGTAGTTCCTCTTGTTTTACTACCCTGAATCAGCTCATTCCGGGGATTTTAATAATTTTAAGCTGTCCTCTCAGAGCGCAGCTTTTATGGAGCAGTTTTAGATTCCAGTCATTCCTCTTTCCCCACAAATAACGGAAAACCACTTAATTCTGTCGTCTGCCACCGCCAAGAACGAGTCAGTTTGTATGACATTTCTTCTTCTGAAGAGTCGTAATCAGTTTAAAAATTCACGTCTTTTCAGTGAACGCGGCTAAAGAAAAAGCTCAGAAGTCGTCACACGGTGACTGTCTATATTTGCAGATGCAGAGATGTCACCTCAGGGGTGATTTTTTGCTTCAGTTTATCGGTGGTGGTGCATTCGGTGAATATTTAAAAAAAACTCATTAGCAGTTTTAGTTGATACCGCAAAGTCTTAGTTGAGCTTTAAGTGATGCAAAGTTTCAAAAGGCCTTTCTAAACCACACAGATATCTCACAGCCTGAGCAGCAGACACTGCATCACCTGAAGGCTTTGATTTTAAAGACAAGTCTTTCTCAATAGAAAGACTTAGGTCGTCTTAACTGCCAGCACATGTGGAAAAATGTAATCTGCGGCTCACCTACAGTTTAATCTTATATACTAGCTGAACCCACCTTCTGTCTAATCCTGACAATGTTTGTAAAGATTGAATTTCCTCTCTGTGAATTTCTGCAAAACAAGACGAGAATCTATGTTATCCCTGTGTAATTCTATTTAAAACCAAGCATTTCCAAGTATGTTCTAAATAACTATTTGCCTCCCCTGATTTCCTCTGGCATGCTGCTGGAGCGCCAGCTATCCAAAGCAACATGTGGAGAAAAAAAAGTGATAATTTCACACATGAAGAAGAGATTTTATGTGGAGTTGGTTTTTTGTTAATAACAAGGGACAAGACAGCCTTTTCTCAGAGGGATTTATTTTTGTTTGCGTGTGTGTATTGTCATCGAGTTTGTGTAGATACCAGGCACTTGTTCATGGCTTCCATTTCTTTCTGTCAGCTCAGTTGTGAGGGATTAGTCTCAGATGATCTGTGAAAAGAGTATAAATAGTCAATTATGAGGCTGGTAATTACTGCCTTGCCTTTTTGTCTAAACGCCCAGCTACATAAGAACCTCAAAATTATATTACAAAATGGATTTTAGCCATGTTTTTTTCTCTTTTTTCCTGTGTGTTTTATTACAGATCCTTTAGGGTTTAACAAAGCCAAAGTGATCTATGCTGCAAAAAATGTAGCATGCCTTTTGTGTAATGACAGCATGTGTCCTTGTTATAATTTCTGGCATTCGGAACACATTGATCTGCAGTGACATCAGCATTAGGAGGCCAATTACAACATTTATCGTTTGGTTGTCGACCCCTGGGCTAACAGTCTTGTTGTCTGGTTACAATCAGTCAGCATTTCCCTTTTTAGGATGACCGAACAGCCATAGGAAGAGCAGCAGGTTGTAATATCTATACGGTACAAAAGGCCAAAGGTTGGAACGCTGGAATCAGGTGAAGCCTTACTTTGTCAGTGCCTCTTATGTGGTCCTTAGATTGTGCTTTTGTCATTCCTAAAATCGCGTTGATACATTGTCTAGGGTGAGCTCATGTGACTCACTTTTCCTGTTTAAAAAGGTTTTAATCAGGGTCTGATCTGTGCTCCTTGTCATGAATCATGCATAGCAGTGATTGTCGTTAAAATGTTAATTGCACATTAATTTGTTTGCGTGTGTGTGTGTGCATACGCTGGTCAATGCCCCAGCTTTTAGAAATGAGCAATTGTGCAAGCCATGTGGGGGAATGAGCCCTGCTGTGGATATGTCTTGGCATCCCAACCATTTCCTGTCAGATAGGATTATGAGCCCTCTGCGCTCTGCTCTCTCATGGCCCAGGGCCTCATTGTGGTGCTCAAAAACACGCTCTGAATTGCAGTTTACCATTGGGAGGATAAAGGCGGGAGGTGCATGGTAAGGGGACACAACGGCATAAAGCCCATGAGTTCTATACGATCCCGAGCTCGGACGTCTGAAGAGGAACAGAGCGCACGGTGCACACAGATGTTCCAGATTCTTAAGAGGAGCAGTCTGAATGAACTGCAGACGGCTCAAGTCTGAGACGGGGAACTGGAGCGCCTGTCAGCACAGTCTGTATCCATCCTCTGTAGCCTGAACACTGCCTTCTGCGCCACAAGCATCCTGACTATTTACTGAATTATATTATTTTTACAATATTTAGATCATAAATTAGTCTTTTGCTATGAGAACATGGCCCATTTCTGTCTTAGTGGCCTTGATTGACTGCCCTTATGTAACAAAGTCACTGGGAGTCTGTGTTTGGTGTCATTCCCATGTTCAGATAAATGCTTTTCTTGGATTTCCACGAGTATTACCAGGTAAAAATCTGTGTTTCGCCATGTTTGTTGTTCAACTGGGCATCAAAGAGGGTCGTGCAGTTTGTTCCAATTTTATTTAGCGATTGGAGATGCAGTTAACTCGATCACTACGGTATTACCAAAAAAAAGCCCTGTGAAAGCATGACATGGATGTCGGCTCATCCCAGATATTTCCTGGAAAGTGTTGACATCCTATGGAAGCAGCAGGAAGTTGCTGTTTCTTCACATCCTGCAGCGTTTCTCCCACAGTGTCACCGCAGCGTTTTTGTTTTCCTCTTCATTTTCTAATTCGCCGTCTACGTGTCGGAAACAGAATAGCTGTGTTAGTCACTGTTACCATTTTAACCGCAGCACCTTCGGGAATAAGGAAATGAAGACAGCAGGGTGTCCTCTCAAACCGAGGTGTGATAACCCCCTCCGTCCTCCTCTCATGGAATCCCGAAAAGTTGACGTGCATTTCCCAACCTGCACCACGTGGATCTATTCACCCTTATATGAATGACTGAGTCTAAATACGCATTGATTTAGGCATCTCAGCTTTCACTTGTCATTCAGTGTAATCTCAGACCTGCTCTGGATTTTACTGCTATCTTTTGGCTTTGTTAGCTGACCTCAAAAGCTCTTGAGCTGTCACTCAGCCTCTCTGTCAGCTCGTAGAAGATTAAGGTGGAGGTTTGGAGGTGATAAGTGTTGCTTGACTAAAGCTGATTATGTCTTCTTTTTGCAAGATATGACGTGTTGAACAAGCCTTTGAACAAAGCTCATCAGGTCCTCCTCTTATAAACCACTTTGATGGCCTTTGTAAAGCTAAAGCTGTTGGCCTGAGTTTCTGTTTCGTCGAGTTTCCCCCTTTTTGTGTGAACGACGGCGGTTTGTCAAACATTCGCACTTTTCTGCCTGTGCATTTCCACTTGTTGTTCTTTTTAACTGCGCTCCACGAACTCTTGTGACCTGCGCCATTGTTATGGATGCTGGTAAACAAAGCTCTGGTGCCGCTCCAGTAAGCTGGAACATTTTACCGCAGACCAAATAACTGAAAAAGGAAAACACGAGTAACACGAAAAATAGAACAGAAACTATGTTGCTCAGTCGACGGGGGGCCAAGCTTTCATGTGTTCTGCATTTTCTCCCATCTGTACATTCTTGTCTCTGTGCGTGTGTGTGTGCTTTTAGGAATAGTGGTAACAGAGGCCCCCCTGTTTCAGACCCCTATCAGAAAGTGCAGCATTCCTCCACCTATCTCTCTTGCCAAAAATGAAGGACACTGATAGTATGTCGCATAGTTTCAGAAGAAAACGAGGCCGCGCAGGCAAAGGCTTCTTCGTGTGTGCATTCTCAGAGGGTTTTAAATGAAAAGGCACAAAGATGCACACATCCTGCCGCTCTGGGGTCGCTCTGCAGGTTACGAGGTGCAGCGGGTCAGAGTCTGTGCTGTTGTTTGTATGGGGTCTTAAATCAAGCTTCCTCTGGCCATTCTCATTCATGGAGTTCAGCAAATAAATCCCAACACAGCTTACCAGAGATAAGTACCAATTTCCTGCAAGTGAAGTACTTTTGAGTCCAACTTGTGCATTTTTCACTTCTCCCCCTGCTCTCATTGCCCTCTGTTATCTCTCTAAGAAAATTTTACTTTGGCCCCCTAAAAAAACCCTGCTTTAAGCCTCTTAATGCACTATTCATCCTAATGCCTGTACCTATGTCTTGAATGCACCATGCTGCACCACCTCTTTGACCCGTGGTTTTACAAAATTGCCATGACATGCTGTGTAAATGTCAAAGGTAATATTCCTAACTACTCTGATTCAGAAAGATCAAGATAGATTTCTTGGGTGAGTTTTGGCCACTTGATTCATGGACATGGAATTTTATGGCTGAAACGACTGGATACTCTGCAATTTATCTTGTCATTTTCTTGAATTAGACTTGTATAGCAAAAAAAAAAAAGAAACCCTTGAAATTGTCAATAAATTGAAGACTGAGGCATTCTGACAATTGTGTCAAGGCAGGGATTATATAAGGTTATTGAAAGCATATGTCCTAATAATGGACTTGGAGGAGGCCGAGTTAGTGGTTATGGCAGGCCTCTTTTTGAACATCGCCCAGACTTTATGTAACGCATTTGGTGGAGATAGATTCTTTGCCCCCCAACATTCTCCCCACGTCACATCTCTACTTTGCTAATTTGTTCCAAGCTAGCTCTTTTGCTTCGATGGACAGGTTTCTTCTGAAATCTAACCTTTTGAAGTGAAGTCGGTCACGCAGTAACTGAACAGTCCTCCAGTTACAGAGACTGAATCTCCTTTGCCCGCAGTCCATGCAACACACCTACTCCTACCTGCTCCGCAGTTTTTAACTTTGTCCTGCTGTGTTCTACCCTGCACCTCACTTCTCCCTCATTGTTCCCCCTACAGGACTGCTCCAGCTCTGAGGAGTTCACGGTGGCTGCTGCACTACTACCCCTGTCGACAGCCTTTTACAGGGTAAGAGGATTTGTTGTAAACGAGGATCCAAGATAAGATTAAATTCCCTTTGACTGCATGTGCTTTGTTCGTCAGTTGTATCACGGCTGAGATATGTCCACCAACACTTGTGCAAAGTGGCCTCAGAGGCAACACTCAAACAGAGTGAACCACACGTTCATGCTGCGACATTACCTGTGCAGAAGTGTCATAGCGCCTCTTATGTCAGAAAAGGCCTTGTGTTGTCAGCTCTCAGGTGTCAGCGTTAGCCTAAAGTAAAATCCAGTCATGACTTGGCTTAAATTAAGACAGCGCTATTGTGGGCAAGGAATAGCTACGGGAAGGCCTCCTTCACCTTTGACCTTTAGTGATCCCGGAGCATGCACATACTCTGCACACCATGTTAAAGCCCAGCAGTGAAGTGTGAAGAGCAGGTCGCGGCCTTTGGTGTCCGAATCATATAATCAGCAAGGGGTAGCTGCAGTGTTCACAGCAAGTATGCCCTGGCAGCTTTTCTTGTTGCTATAGGGACAGACAAAACTGTCCACACTGGCCTTTTGTTAGATACCACTGCCATACCCTGATGGGCAGGACTGTGGCCTGGCTCGCTGTCCAGCACTGCATGACTCATCTCAGCTCAAATGCCCCTGGTTGATGGAGCCCTTCAAGATGAGCCTTATGTGGAGTTTTCCTCATTTTTCTTCTGAGCCTCCAATGTCTTTAAGCTAAGTGCTTTTCCAACCTTCCAACAATTACACCCCACTACAAAGCGGTTTCTGTTTCATAAGTGTCTTTGTAAATCACAATTTCTACATACCACACTGATTTCCCTCTGTTTCAGTGAGATTATCGATGATTTATTCTCTGGCTCCGACGGCCAGTCAGAGGGAAATATATTTAGATAAACAGCTTCTTTTTTTTCCTTTTTTTTCATTTCTTGTTATTCACAAATGATTGAATCTGGCAACAAGCTTAAGCGCTGCTTCACCCAAAGGGTGAAAAGTGAAATAAGGTCAGGCAGGAATCTGCCAAAGTATCTGTAATCTCCTCTGTAATGGAGCAAGGATCAGGCATTGATGCACAAATGTAAGAAAAACAAAGCTTGGTCATGAAGCATGGCGGCAGCTGTCATGCGGGGTGGGGATTCAGAGGCATGCCTGATCCAGACATCTTGCTATTGATCTTTCGTGCCCTTTGTCACATATTTTTAATCAATGGATTTTCACAATTGAGACAAAGAATTACATCAAACATGAGGGTAGAACTTAATTAAAGCAACAAGTTGAGAAAGCAACCAAGTCTTACATAAATGCATGAAGTGTTATAACTGACAGTTAAAGATGTAAAGGCCAAACATATCTCAGCTGTTAATCTTAAATAAGCTTATGTCTTAAAAGCATGTGAGGAAGTGTTTACTACAGCTCTCCAATGGATATAGCCTTCTTTTTCCAAGGCTTTTTCTTCTTTCCCAAACCCTCCAGCATTCGTCCTGCTGCTTCTGTCAGCCATCACATAAACACCAGTCACCCAGTTTCATAAGCAGTCATCTTTATCCATCTAGTCACCCTGCCTCAGGTTTGACAGATCAACCTTTGAACACCAAACTTTCCTTCACCCTCTCCACAGCATTCCAGAAAACGTTTTCCGGGACAGTACGTTTGTGTGTTTATTCTGTCCAAAGACTTTTGTTTCAGAGCTGTTCTCCCTTTTTCACATCTTTACTTTCTCTCTCTAATCTTGAACGCAGATGGATGGTTTTTATTTACAGTCAGGAGACTCCTGGTTTGTCTTTTTGTGTTACTGAGATCACATGTGCCTGAGCTGTTTCAGTCTCATGATGGCTTCCTTCACTTATATCTCCACCTCTTTTGAGGGGCTGTTGAGCATCTCCACACACACATATCAATGAAATTTCAACATGTGGAATCCTTTGCAGCTATTACCGCAAAGATTAGGTGTCATTCTACAATAGACGTCTTCAATTAAAGCTTAAGGTCTTCTATTAAAACACATATGGTAGCAAAATGACAAAAAATCTATGAATGAATATCTATGTGTCTGACAGTGTGCAACTTCCTGAAGAATGCAGAATAGTTCTTCTTTTGAGGAGCTTTGACAGAAATAGCAGGATAATGCTTTTGGTCCACTTTGTAAGTAGAAGGATCTGATACAAAAACACATTTAGAAAAGGGATGTGACATTCAGCATGTGGCCTGTACTGTGGTTCAAATCATTAGGTCATTTTGGATTGCTGAAACATTATTTTCTGGTAATTATATATTAAAGACAGTCCCCTTTGCTTTCTGTGGCTTTACCACTGCATCGGCAGCAGACTGTGGTCCATACACCCGATCTGAGTAGGTACTTTTCAAGCCTTCTGGGAACTCCTTTGGTCTGTAACTTTTTGATGATTAAGTCCAACAGTTCTTGATATTAGCCCCAGTTAAATAAAATATATAAATCAGACCTCAAAGTTAAGCCTGTTTGTGACTAAGCTGTGACAATTTGTTTTTGATTAGTCTATGAAAACCCTAGCGTCTTCACACAGTTTTTATGGGTAGTGCGAATGCAAAAAGGGGAAAGCCCTGGATGGTATTTGTCCTTTGGGAGCTTGGCAGTCCCCATTTCTCTGAGCAATCCTTGGATCTTTTGAAGGAGTCTAATGACCTGCTCACTTCCTGCACAAATCCACATAAGTGTCTGTGGAAATTCATCATGAACCAGACTCATAAGCAGGAATGTGACCTTACATGTCCTGGATATTTTCAAACTTAAGAATGTAAATAATTCCAGATCTATACCTAAAAACTAAAACTAAACTAAAATTTTACAAGGATCGATGCCATCTAATTGGAATTATTAACCAAGTTAAAGCCACTTTTGGATTGTGGCCTTAAATTTTGACCAAACAACTGTGTTAAAAAATACTTTAACATTAAAAGAAACAGCCATTGAGATTTTGGATGTTGTTTAGTTGACTTAGCTCCAGTAAAAGTGGCCTTAACTTGAATGCAGTTTTGATATTGATGACATTCATCATTTAAAAACTTCTCTTACCAGAAAATAGTGAGGAAAAAGAATAATCAATGGGATAAGACGATAATAATAATAATAATTTCCCTCTGGGATTATTAAAGTATTTCTGATTCTGACGAACAGTGTCTCTCTCCCAGTGTCAAAGGAAAAAAAACAGTTTTTGATTATGTTTGTTTGTTATTCTTCAAACCGTGTGAAAGAAATGTCCCGCCTCGGTTCAGGTAGTACTTTAAGATGAAGTCAAAGAGTCAGACGTCGGTCAAGTTCCTGTTTGGTATCGAGGGCCAGACTTTGGCAGGCTCACGCTCCCAGTGGCACCGTCACCATGGACCGCCAGTCTGCAGGTCAGGGGACGTGGGAAACTCCTTCTACAGCAAACGTCTGCTCCCAGATTCTGCGGGGTAGAGACATTGTGTGGTTTTATTTCTACCCACGTACAGACTCTAAACAGCCTATTCTATTAACCCAGATTCCATGTCCAGTTGTTTTGTTTTCCCATTTCATGGGTCTCCCGAATTAGTGTTTTGCCGAAACAATCTGCTGAAGGAATGTTTGGACAATATCTTTTACTCAAGAGTTACGCAATCACAGTGTCATTCGATCTGGAGAAGTATTGTTTGGTCTAAGTAGCACGCACCTTTTGTGCCGTGGCCCTTTGTAAGGGGTTAAGTTTTACGTGAGAACCGGCTCCGCTGGCATTCCCTATCTGCGGAGGGGCGAGTTTATCAGGAGATGTCGTTGGCGTCTGGGTCTGCTGTTATTCTGCCCTTTGTGGCGTTCCATGATGTCCATTCTCACATTTGAATATACCGCTGTAGTTGGGGATGACACAGACTTGGAAAAGCGGCTGATGAAAATCACAACCAAATTTCTGGATGAAATGCTGGGCTGTTATCATTCTTTCGGCCACGGCTTGCGCATTTTTTTTCAGCTCCGTCTGCCAATCCGCTCTGCACCATGTCCTCACAGGGGGTGGTGACGTACTTGGTGACCTTTGTGTATGTAACAAAACAAAAAAACTCCAGATCCAACTTGTCGTATCTGTGTTTACTCTGTTTGGGAACATTTATGTTATGCGTTCATTTGTTTTTTGCATGCTGATGTCCTATAGATGACACCATGGGTTGTTTATTAGTTTGACTCCCAGCAAGTTTCCCTCTGTTTATTTTATGGGACTGAATACTATAAATACTTCGTCTGAATACAGGCTGTTTCATCGTGCAGTTTTGGAGATGGAGTGGAGATGAATTGAACGCTCTGAATTCCTCCAAAACATGTGAAACGTGTCACCGTCCCGGGGCTGGTGACAGCGCAAATAAAGCGCTCCTCCACAAGTGTCTCTTTTCAGCCACACATTTGCAGTGTTGACAATATGCCGCGGCTCTTAGTCCCTGGGAGACACTGGGGGCACGTGGGACGCCTCTTGGCCATTCGGAGGCTGAAGCCACGTCGTGTGCGTCTGAATCTCGGCCCAGAGTTCATAAGAAGATCCCAAGCTCCGATAGCCTCATTCCTCTGACCCATACGTAGCATTTTCTCCTCTCCGTATCTCCTTGTTGTTTTTCATCTTGTTTTTCACCCCGTCTCCCTCAACCTTGCATTCCTCCTCTTTTGCTGGTCACGCAGCCAGATGGGTCCGATTGTGGTGCACTCCCTTTTTCCCCTTCATCTCTGCTGCCTACCTTCCTTTCCTCCTCCCCATCCTCTCTTCTCCTCTGCCCTTCCTTGTCCTCCTCCTTGCACATCTGTCTTGTGCATGCCTTTACAGGCTTTGCGCATCATCATGCAAGGAACAAATGACCTCGGTCAAAATGACCTGAACATATCTGAAAAGTCTAAAAAGTACACAAGGCTAAATATAGACGGCATTGATAAATAACACGCTCGCAACCCCCCCAATGCAAACATGGACACGCACCCGCATAACATCTGCTACGAGACAGAAAAGTATGAAAGTAGTATCCAGAGAGCTGCATTTCTTCTCATAATTGTCACTTTTAATTTATGACCGTGTTTTATTCGACCTCATCACTCACTCGCTGCAGACTTTAACAGGGACCCCTTTCTCTCGCGTGTGGAGTCTGCTGAACTGACCAGTGCCAGCTTTGGTTGCTTTCTGCCATCCAAAAGGCATTTTTACCCACTCTGCAATCTGTATCTGTCTGCCATTGATCCTCTGGCCTTCTCCCCTCCCTTTGGTCCCTCTGATGGCTGTGAGGTTAACCAGTTTTTCTGGGAATTACTGTTACAATGAACAAGTGTTGATTTCTTTCATCTCGGGGTTGGCTGATGATGAACTGGGAGGCTTTGCTTTGGCACGCTGCGTGTGGGCAGCAATCAGAGGAACTTGTGTGCAGTACTTGTTGAAATGGACTCTTAGGGGTTTGGTTCACTACGTTTTAGATAAGGTGTCATTTAGAATTGGTGGAATATGTTGTTTAATCAAACTATTAACACACTGATGAGTACGTCAGAGACAACTCTCAGGTGCATCATGTATGCAGGGAGAGCCACCTAAGCCCGCAAAGGACTTGTAAAACTTTGTGATTTTGTAGGTCTCCAGAAAAAGTGAGATTAGCTGATTTTTGTCATCTTTGTGACAACTCAAATAACAGTGCCTACATTTCAGGGTTTTTATTTGTTTTTTTTTCTCTGTCCTTTGCATCAGTCCTAATTTTTGCTTGACTAGATGGTGAACCACATTGTAAGGTAATTTGCTTAAATCGTTAAATGCAGCCTTAAGAGTTGCTCATACCTTAAAGTGACTCAGACTATTGTCTCCCATTCTTTCCCTTATATGACCTAACTTGAACATCTTTTGTGTTGAGCTCTGTCATTAGCCAGCAGGATCTCACAAACTCCCATTTCACACCTTAATAAGTCATGAAAAAAATAGGGGAATAAAGCTTAACCGTTAACACCTTCCAGCCAAGAGCAGGACACTGATCCAGAGTTGTGTGTGTGCTGCTGTGTGGGTACTAGCTCCAAGCTCGCTTGTCTCTTGGCGTCTGGCCCATCACAGAGGGAACGGAGCGGTTTTGGTCGGGTGTAATTACTGTAGCCCCCACAGTTTGCATTGTTCAAAGGCAATCCTTGAAGTGATAATGGAAACCACCAGATTGAGTCAGACTCGGGGGAGAGAAATCAGAAGCTAATCTAATAACAGGCCTGAGCCTCTCTTGTGGCCCTGGGCCTATGCTGGGAGATGGCCGGTGGGTCAAAGTTTGGTTTTTGCGGCCGATCATTTATTTTTACACCGTGCTTCTATTGAGGTCTTGTTATTTTGTTTCTGCAGCATTTCCCAGCATGCCCAGCTATATGTTTTCAACATTGCCACATGGAGCAGCCTTAATGCCTTTAGCTTAGGACTGTATGTTCCCCTCAGTGGCTGTTTTTGCAGGCAACAGCTGACTTACTCTTCAGAGCACTAATGAAAAACAACAGCTCTGTTTCCAAACACATGCAGCAAGGAGCAGGGGGTGGGGGGCAAGTTCCTCCAAAAGGAGTTATCTATTTAAAAAGTTATGACTCAACATGAATGATTAATTTCTTTTTAAACCAGCACTGTTACTTTTCTTTTTGTTTGGGTCAGTTTGTCCTTCTGCTTGACCTTTAACAAACTGAAACACTTTTAAAGCCAGTATGTAATGAGGAATAGATCTAAACAGCCATCATGCCAACAGGGCTGAAGCGGCAAAGATGATAATCCAATACTTCTACAGTTGGTCACTGTCTGAACTCCACTAAAACTAAAGGCGACTTATTCTAGCCTGCATTATATATGCATTTCCGCTTATATTCCTGTTGATCATTTTAGCAGCGACTCCGCTACACCACTCACCCTCTCCGCTTCTCAAGAGAAGGGATGCACTATGACCCCTTGAAGCACTTTATTGGAGAGCAACAGTGAAATAGCTTGACAATCCAGGCCATTCTCCAGATTCATTGAAAATTGCTTAAGTCGCTGTTCCTCTTCCCTGCCGTTGGACCGCGGTCAGTTGTTGGCTTACTGAGCGCTCTTTTTTTTTTCCTCACAGTTTACGTGTTGAACTGGCCCTTGTTGTTCAACCGCAGAACATAACGGCCGATGGCCAATATTAAACACCATTGAAAACTCATTCTGTAGCTCCTCAAACTTCACCGTCGCTCCTTTCCTGCGTTGTGATTGAACAACCAGCAGGAGATTTCCAACTCTGGACTGGTAAAAAGAAAAAAAAGAAAGGACGATAGACACAAGTCTTATGTCACTGTCAGGATATAACACTTTAAACAAAATGCTACTATAGCTGTGGTGTTTCATGTACTTTCTCGGTTAAGTTGACTATGCTGTTTAAGTGTTGCATGTATTCCTTTCAAAGCAAAAAGCAGCTGAGAGCATTTCAGCTCCCCGTCACCACGTTGCAGCATATTCACCATCCTCTGAAGTAACATTTGCTGTTGGTAGAGACACAGAGGGAGGGAAGTTTCCCTTTTAAATCGGGAAGGCTCACTGTTATCGTTTTAATTTATGGGGCCCAAAACAAAGTTCCAGGGTGGGTTTTTTCTTAGATTTTGAGATGTTAATGACTTCAGACACTGAAACATGTGCTCTCAAGCACAATAAAAGTTATTTTTCCATAATATGACCCCAGTAGAACTGTGTATCTAAGGTCTACTTCGGTTGTTAAGCATAAAAACCAAGCTCAAAGAGGTTCCATTAAACATCTGCTCAGTATCTTGCTGTGAGAGTTTACTTAAACAACATAATAAATTCCTTCACATCCCTTTTTTTTTGTCTTTTGTTTAAGTCACTTACAAGCCCCATTTTCATGTTGTTTTTCAAAGTTTGTGGTTTATATCTTGGCTACAAGTAGTTATTTTTTCTGGAGGTGCAGTTCTGACTCAGAAGTTTTGTTTTTCAGAGATTGGCTGCAGGAGTGAACCAGTTTGCCTACACCTGCATACAGGACCATCCTATTTGGACCAATCAGCAGTTCTGGGAAGCCACTTTCTACAGCGAGGTCCAGGGTCAGATTCGAGCTCTTTATCTTAATGCACCCGAAGAAAAGGGCAGCATCACAGCCAGGCTTAAGGTATCTCCTCATCAACCACGAATGGGGTTATTCAAATCTGTCTTACCCTGCGAGCATTCCATATTTTCCATATGTGAAGTGAGATGAAGAGTAATGGTCCGGTAACGAGGCTAAACCTTTTGCCTTGACCTGTGCAGGACGTGGGCCCGCCAGCGGGCAGGGACGAGCATCAGACTGCCATGGATCTGGCGGCAGAACAGCTGCGCACCTGGCCCAGCCTGAGCAAAGAGAAGCAGCAGGAGCTGGTGAAGAACGAGGAGAGCACCGTGTTCAGCCAGGCCATCCACTACGCCAGCCTCATGGTTTACCTGCTGGTTCCCCTGGACACCAGCAAGAACAAGCTGCTGCGCAGCACGCCCGTGGCGGACTGGGAGAGCGGCAGCAACAGCATAGTGACCAACAGGTCAGGGGCAGGGCAGCGCTCAGCTTTGCCCTCTAACATATTTTACCCATATCTTCTCTGTCTGATAAAGCTGAGGTGGATGGATGGACTTGTTCAGAGTTTGTAAGGTAGAACAATCAGCATGACCTGAAGGAAACCTGGAGCTAAGGTTTTGTGATTTGGGATTATGTGAATCTCTCTTAATAGGTGATTTCTGTGTGGGTGGATGTGGCGTCGCTCACTGTCCACATGATACCTTCCTTTCTAGCCAAACATGCTGCTGCTTTTTGCCTGTTTCCGGCCCACGTTCATCCTGTGGGCTCACATCATCTCTGAACAGAACAGAGCATGGCTAGCTGACCTCCAGTGAGATGTTCGAAACCCTCAGAGCGTCTTTAAAGAGCAACATCGTACTTTTTTTCCCCTTGTTTTGCAGTTTCTGTAGAGTAATTTTAACATGGTAACAACCCACATGTCCATCTTTGCCTTCAAATAAGATATTTAGATGAAATATTCCTGCTCAGAATGTCAAAATGTTTTCCTAATAATCAGACGAACACAAATTTGGACTCAGTCTAATCGATGGCGTTTGAAACCGAGGAAACATTTTATCCATATTTCACTTTCAGCCACAAGAACACAATGTTTCTGGTTTATTCTGGGTTTTGTTTCAGTTTTTCAAATGTGATGACAAAAATGTGGCAGCCAACAATATAAGTGGAAAGTTTTTCTCCTCATTCCCCCTCCCACCTCCTTCAGTTCCTCCCCAGACTTGTTTGTTTTCTCTCCTAAAGGAGGTGATTTCGTCACCCTGCTTTTGTTCATCCAAAAGCCAGGGTTTCACCACATGAAACGCCCTTCTTGGTTTAATGAGTTTCAGCTACTGATATCTGCCCACGTGCTCCCTGCTCGTGCCACACTGACCATCGGCCTCATTGCTCTGCTCGTTGTCACTCTGCATCCTCAGATCTGTGTCTGTCAGCACAGAGCTTCCCTCCTCCTGACCGCTCAGGTTTGACCTTTCTCCATTTCACTGTGTCACACGTGTGTGTCAACAGCATCGCCGGGAGTGTGGCTGAGAGCTTTGACACTGAGAGTGGGTTCGAGGACTCTGAGAGCAGTGACGTGGCAAACTCCATAGTGAGGTTTGTGGCCCGCTTCATCGACAAAGTGTGCACAGAGAGCGGAGTCACCCAGGAGCACATCAAGAGCCTACACAGCATGATCCCAGGTACAGCGGCACTGCCCGGTGTCCCCCTGTATTATACCGTGTTCCTTAGATGTGTGTATTTTTAGCAGCAGCCAGCATCCACAGGGAGTAGTGAGCCTATTAACTCCTGACATGTCAAACAGCTCCAGTATGCACATACAAATGTTGCCCGTGTATACCTGGTATCTGACCCCAGATTCTGTCCCTCAGGCATTGTAGCAATGCAGATGGAGGCTTTAGAGGCAGTGCACAGAGAGAGCAGGAGGTTGCCTCCCATCCAGAAGGTGAGTGCTGTTCCACTCTGAGCTGACACACTTAAGGTTTAACCTCAAATGTATTTCAATTGGGTTTTTTAAAAATCATTTTGGAACCTTACACAAATGTTTTTCTGAAGCATCTGAGTCAGGGACAATAGCAAGTCAGGCCTTTATGCTTCAGGAAAATTGGGTATTTCTCATGCACATTATTGTGCCTGGGTTTGAAAAACTGGAAAGAAGTGCAAATAATGCCAGCAGAGGCTTCAGAGGTGATCTGGTTACCTTTGCTCAGAGTGTAGATGGGTCTAGTCGCCTGAATAACTCTAACGGACGTGTTGTCTTCTGCGGGCTCTGTGTTCCAGAGATACCTTGTTATCGCTGCGGCGGGCGCCGCTGTCGGCCCACATAGTTAAGACAGCCCGGCTACACCTTACTCCAGTTTGGAGCTGCCGTTTCTGAGGACATCAGAGCACCGAACACAGTGCTGTCATGTCTGATGGAGGCTGTTTCTCAATAAGTGGTCCAGACCATCGTCTGTCGCGTCTGCAGTAATAATCCTCTTGGTGTCTGATGTGTACTTGGCTGACTCGCCATTGTTATTGGCAGAGTGTACTCTGTTGATAACTAATTACACAGATTCGGAAACTGAGTAATGATTTCCTTCTTCTGATTTGCACGGTTGTTGGCAAACAACTCTGTGGTTAAGTTTCCACTGTCAGCTAACATGGAACATCGATCTTAAATCTCCTTATCATACAGCTGCCAACAACAGAAGACGTCCCTTTGGACTCTCAACAGCTTTTTAGTCTGTGACCAATGGCACTGTTTTCCATCCTGGTCATTCATTAGTTTTGCTGCTATTTAATGTTGAAAATTATTTTCTGATCTGTTTCTGTTCTTAGGCGGTTTAAACTAGATCAGCCTTTGAAAACCTGAACTAAATTACACTTTTGATATAACTAAGCTCGCTCACCTGTTGCTTTTAAGGTTGAGAAATAAAAAAAAGGTAAATATTTATACACGGGTATATTTATAAGTGATTGTTTTATTCTAAAATGTTTATTTTAACACTGCAGAGAGCTAAACAGAAAGTAGTTATAAATTCCTGGTTAAAGTGGTTACATCCACTTATTGAATTCAACATGGCCTGCTGCTGCTGTGAGCAGGCAGTGTCCTATCCAGTGCTTTCAGTCTTTTGGATCCTGCTGTGCCACGTCTTCCGACCGTTGGCGAGGCATACTCGTGCACATAGACCAAAGCCGTGCCCGTGCTACTTAGAGAGCAGCCTGGAACTCATGCCTGCTGCTCACATGTTTATGTGAGACAAAATGACAAAAATGCTAACAAGGAGCTGGACTGACTTTGGATTCAGGACAAGTCCTAAAAGTAAAAGAAATGGCAGTAATCGCACTATTAAGTAGCTGAGCTCGCCGCAGTAATGAGGTGCATAGGGACTCTGCTCCGTCTCGCTGTTCATTCAAGGACGGACTCAAGAGGCAGTTATTATTCTAGAGCCAGACCTCAACTCCCTCAGCTCGGCTATGGCCTTAATGAGGAATACCGTGAATGATATAACATTCCCTCCAGTTCATATTTGCGACAGTGGAACAACTGAGTGTTTGTGGAGCAACAATGGATGCGGATGCACAAAAGGTTGCTCATATGGGCACATGGTCAATTATCATTTCCATTAACGACACACAAAAGCACGCTCAGCATGTACCTCTTTCCATATGGAGATGAGGAAACATTAACTTTTTTCTGTGAAGGTCCATTCAAACAGAAACCTCTCACATCACTGTGCCATTTTCCTCTGAGCCAGCGCTCAGATTTCCACACACGTTTTAATAAGTGTCTGCGTGCTCAGACGTTTGAATGGTTACATATTAAAAGTTCTGAAGCGGGTGCGTGAGCGATCACATATTTGCCGGTTTGAAGCCTGATGCAGAGGCCGTGGCCGCGGGGTGCACACGCCTCTCACGGAGTTGTTTCACCGTAACCGAGAGCTTTAATTATCATCACAGAGGTCTGCACAGAATCAGCCCAACTTTATTCTAAAGGTGAAGAATGCATCTCGTCGGTCAGTGTCCAGATGTTGGAAGCATAGAGTGAAAAGCATCCATTGCTCAGTTCACTGATCCGTACACGCGGAGCAGATTCAGCTCTGCTGCGAGGGCTGAGATGGAAAATCACTGCAGGCAGAAACTAGAAAGTTGTTTGTTTTTGTTGGACACTTTGAATTTTACGATTCGACGTGACGGCCGGTGCGTTTTCAAGTCTCGTGTTTCTGATGGTGTGCACATAAGGTTTTATGTTTCTCCAGCAGAGCCATGTGTTGCTCTGATTTGACATTATGATGATGAATTCGTTTCCTTGATCAGATGCTCTGACGCAAATGTTTTTCCGCTGCTTTCGTTGCCTTGTTGTCAGTTAAATATGCCTCGTTTAAGGGTGGACGTGCTTGCATACAGGTATATTTGTGCTTGTGTAAAGTTCAGCTATCCTGTTCTCTCATCAGCCCAAGATTCTGCGGCCAGCATTGCTTCCTGGAGAGGAGCTGGTGTCAGAGGGGCTGCGGGTTCTCCTGGACCCTGATGGCAGAGAAGAGGCCACAGGGGGCCTCCTTGGGGGACCTCACATCCTCCCAGCAGAGGGGGCCCTGTTTCTCACCACATACCGCATCATCTTCAAAGGCATTCCGCATGATCCACTGGGTAGGATATATACTGAGCTGCAGAGACAATGCCTTTAATGCCTTTAAAGTCTCAGAAAAAGAAAAAGAGGCTTTTAGATTTTCTGCGTTGAGATACTCATGACGCTTTTCATTCACATGAGCATAGAAAAAGAGCCGTTAGGACAGGCTCTGCAGGTACCTTGTCAATAATGTGACTTTTTGCTGAATTTGCGCAGTGGGGGAGCAGGCGGTCATCAGAGCTTTCCCCGTGTCCACACTGACCAAAGAGAAGAAGATCAGCATCCAGAACCAGCTGCAGCAGAACATGCAGGAAGGCCTGCAGCTCCGCTCTGCATCTTTTCAGGTGGGCACAGAAAAAAATTACACGAGGAATTACATGTAGGAATCATGCTAGGACCTGTGTCGTAGAAGGCATGATCTAGGAATGATGGTACTTTGGTGTCTCTCTCATTTTAGCTTGCAACAAAGCATAAGAAAACTACGCAGACTGATATATCTAGCAGATAAAAATGGATGGCTTTGTCCCGATGAGATGTCGTGTGTCTTCAGAGTTGATCATAAGAAGTCAGATTAGCTGCTTGCGCTGTTACACAATCAGATCGGTGGATGTCTCTTGCAGTTGATCAAAGTAGCTTTTGACGAGGAGGTCAGCTCGGAGACGGTGGAGATCTTCAGGAAGCACCTCCAAAGAATCCGTTATCCTCAGTCCATCTTCACCTCCTTTGCGTTCGCGGCAGGACAGACAGCTCCTCAGCTCATCCTCCCAAAGCAAAAAGAGAGGAACACTGGCTTCAGGTTTGTCAGGCTGCTGCAAAAAGAAGGAAAACGTCTGGAAATGACCTTCCCTTGACTGTGGAGACAACGTCCGCTCTGTCGTCCTCACAGAACGCTGTCAAAAACCATCGTTAAAGGGGCCAAGAGGGCCGGGAAGATCACCATGGGCCGTGGCAGCCAGAGCACGCTGAAGAAGAGCGACAGGGGCAGCAGGATGACCTGGAACGAAGACGACGACGTTTCGAGTAAGAGAGGGGGACGGTAAAATGCGCCGGTGTCGGCATTTAGAGCAGGAGACATACCGGGTATAAGCTACTCCCATGGTAATTTCAGTTTTTGGTTTGCGTCTGCCCAAGTATCCGATGACGGGGAGCCGCCCCCCAGCAGCACTCTGCGAGCGTCTGAAAAGTCCACCATGGAGCAGCTGGTGGAGCAGTCCTGCTTCCGGGACTACCAGCGTCTGGGGCTGGGGACCATCACCGCCAGCTCGTCTCGGTCGAAGTCAGGGGAGCAGTTCAGGGTGACGGCTGCGAACAGGCTCTACTCGCTCTGCCGCAGGTAAGCAGCCTTCTCTGGCTAACTCTTTCATTTTCATCCGCAGCAAGCAAAGCCTCAGAAACCTACAACCCTGCTCATCTGAACAAGCTCTTTTTTTCGCAGCTTTTCAGAAACCACAGTCATTCTTTCTCAGTCGTTTCTGCTTACGAGGCTTCTGCTTTGCCCCCTCAGCTACCCAGGACTGCTGGTCATTCCTCAGGGTGTACAGGACAGCAGTTTACACAAAGTAGCGCGCTGCTACCGGCACAACCGCCTGCCCGTCCTGTGTTGGAAGCACCCCCGGACCAAAACCGTGCTGCTGCGCTCTGGAGGCTTCCACAGCAAGAGTGTAGTGGGGCTGTTCAAGTCCCAGAACCCTTCCTCAACAAGTAGGCTAACATTCTGAGCTGCACCGAATCTCTGCCGTGATACCATAAAACATCCCTATAAAACACTTACCTCTATTGATGATATCATTTCCTCTGTTTTCGCCTTTAGCTCCCGTCTCCTCTTCAGATTCGTCCAGCAGCCTTGAACAGGAGAAGTATCTGCAAGCTATCCTTGACTCCATCCCCGTCTATTTCAAAATGAACGGGAACAACACCCTGTCCAACCGCTCCCTCATTGGCCTCTCACCAGGTACAAAATGATTAAGTTGGTTTGTTAAACTCTTTTGAAATTCTTTTTGGGTCTGGAAAAAATTTCTGGAAGTTTTTTTGCCTCTCATCCCTAAAGCTGACTAACCCGAGTAGTGAAGCTTCTTCAAGAACCAAGAAAAGCTCCCTTGGCTCCTATTCAAACACTTAGGAATCACATGGACTGAACCTCTGCAGGTGTCTTGCCACCATGGCTCATGTTAGAACAGGCTGTAGACTTAAACAGACCACATAAGGAGCACCTTAACTGATGTATTTTTCTCTCTGTTTATGCTTCGTATATCAACTTACTATATTGGCTAAACTGATTCTTTTTAAACTTAAAAAAGGTATACTTGGGGGGGAAAAACTGCTAATGATGTGAGCCAGCAGCTTTTTGGTGGAGCTGATGTTGTGGCAAATGTCTGTTAAGAGGAAAAATAAATCATCCTTTTTTCGTGTTGCTTGGCATTAAATAAAAGGCTTTTGGTTGTAACTCGTCAACCTCTTATGAACCGGATAAAAGCAATGAGACTTTCCCACACAGCCAAACCAATGACCCTGCCTTTACAGAAGCTGAATCTGGAGCATATAAATAGAGTACAGCCAATAATGTTATCAGTTCACACTGATGCCTGTTAGTCAAACTGAGGGGCATGAGAAAGGGCTCTTAAAACCAAACAGAGCAAAAGTCTTTGTTTACCTGATATGAGTCTCAGACTGCTCACACACCTTACTTTTTTTCTCTAGGGTTGGCTGAGCTTAACTATTACTCTTAAGTTCTTTCCGCGTCACGGGGAAGATTAATTTTACGGAGTTCTGCTTCCTTTTGGATATGAAAGAAACCAATAGCTGGTGGATGACCCATATCACATCAGTTAATGTATAAAAACTAAACCGATAATGACAAAACCTTTCATGTCACAGCACGTCATAGTTTGAAAATCTGTGCATTTCATCTTTTGAACCAAACCCGTCTGCCAGCCTCCAGTGCCCTTACCTGACCCAAATCTGCTATGGGATGTCCTTGACTGGGCTGTGGGGGAAAAAAAAAAAAAAAAACTTTGTATGTTTGCTAATGGACAAAGGGCCATGAAGAGTTCATGTTTTTCTGATAAAGATAAAAAGTGCACATTTGCACTCCTCAAAGCTATTTTTATTCATCCCAGCCCCGTTTCTTTTTCTATCCCCAGGTAATCACTGTCTTCCTTTCTGTGTTTGCACTGGTCAGCGGGCCGTGTCACCTACTTATCTTTGTGTGTTTGTGTTTGTGTCTGTGCGTACGTGTATGCGTACATGTGTGCGTATAAGAGACAGAGAGAGGGACTGCAGAATGGCTATTGTATTCAATATGCAGTCGCATTTAGGAGGAAACCTCTACAATGAAAGGTTATTTAAGAATCACAGGACAGCCTTGGGTCTCTGCCCCATCTATCCATCTCCTCTGACTTAACCTGCCTCTTCCAGTATTCTCGATGTACTATGCTCAACCGTGAGCAGGCTGCTCACACAAACAAACAAACAAACAAACAAACTCAAACAAACACATGGTACAGCTAGCCGTGTCATTTAATCCCCAGTTTCGCTTCTCTCAACGTCAACACACCATTTCAGTAATTCCTGGTCCAAACGATCATCATCTTCGTCCTTTTTGATGCGGGTGGAGATAAAGATGTGTCAGTTTTAATGACTGAGGTGCACAAGGAGACTGTTAGGGTATGACAGGGCAGCTCTCAGCTCTTGAGTGGCTGGTTTCTAGGGCTTGAGCTGAACCGTGTTTCCATTCAGTGAGTGCCATCGTGTAGATCCGTTCTCCTTGAAGTATTTTTTTATCCTTTTTTTTGTAATCGTCCCATATGTTGCTCTGCTTGAGCTGGAAGATTCGTTTTTTTGCTTGTTGTCATCTACCTCTGCTCGGAAAATGATGCCAACAAACACAGTTTCAATGTGCCGTGTCCTGTGTTCATGTTTGTTCTGCAGGCAGTGAGAGGAGGACCTCGAGGATACCAAAGATGGCTCCCGTTCATTTAGACCTCCCATTTTCAAGCAGCTTTACCAGAGGAGGTGAGTGTTTTCTGCGCCTCTGCTGACATCTCTAAACAGATTTGAGTGTTTTATGCTTCACCTGAAACATTTAAGTAAAGGTAACAAAAATGTTCACATCACAGTTTGACTTGCTGAAGTTTCACATATTTTTCTGAAGGTTTGTTAGGAAACAAAAACCTGTTATCTGTTTAGAAAATTCAACTCTCCATGACCAATGCAAAATATTTTAAGAGATAGGAAGTTAAAAGGGTAAAAAGAAAAAAAATCAGTTCAAACTGAAGTTCAAACAACACATTGATGCTCATTTGAGCGTGGTCTTCAGACCTGAACTCACCAGGCTGCTGCAGCCACGGTTTGCTCGGGGAGGAGCTGGAGGAGGCTTGGCCAACTTTAAAAAACGTGGCTTTGAGTAATGTGAACGTGAAGGATTTATGTGTCATGGCTGCTTGTGAACTGTAGTTTTCCTGGCGTATTAGCATTTCTGCTATGTTGACTTTATATGAAAACTTAATGTACTGTTAAGTTGACACATCATTGTGACTGTTTATGTTGGAATGCGAACTCTTGAAACAAAAAATCTCGGTACTTAGTGTTTTGTTTCAGAGTCTGTGCATATCAGGGCTGTTAGTCAACGCCTCAGATGAAGGTCAAAGGCAAAAGAATTGTTCAGACTGACTCAGCATGAATTCACTGAAAAGCATGACACATCAGCAAAGTTTTGTTTTGTTTTTTACTCCCTGTTTCTTAACCCAGCTGTTCTGTTTAGTCTGACGTGCTGGATAGAAAAATAATGGATACGTTTAAAATGCTGTCAATGCTTTGGAATATCATTTTCAGTTTTTCATCTGAAAAATACCTCATTCCTTTTTTTTTAAGGTTTCATTATTGTTCATATATTTTTGTGGGATAAATAGAGATGGTACAGGGTTGACTTTGGCTGGCTCTGTGAGGACAAAGTTTACTATTCTTTTAGTTTATTTTGCCTTAGTCTCTCCAGATCCCATTCACAATATTTTTATTTCTGCTCCTAAGAACCAAGCGAACTGCTCATTCTGAATTGAATAAACTTTGCAAAGTCCACTGGGATACGTACGCTTGGTCAAGCACCAAAGGAGAAAACTGATTATACAAGTTAACCTTAGCTTGATGCAACTAATCCAGGATCCGTCACATCTGTCTAAAACCTAAATTTTATCCTTACCATCAGCAGTTGTAACCAGGAACAGTCATATTCATGCATGCTCATTTGTGAGTCATTTTCCTCACTTAAAATGCAGTGGTCCCTCATTCCTACTCCGTATGGACCAGCCCAAACCCTGACCATCAACTGAATCTCCTCATAAGCATGTCTGTTTTTCTGAACTGTGAAGTATGGTAGGTTGTGATGGTGTTCGATATGATGTTGACATTAATTTTACCCCCATCCTCTCTCCTGTACCAAACAACCACACAGTGCTTGAGTACAAAGATAAACTATTCACTCACTCAAACCAAAAACCTGCCACTAAGGAAAGAATCCACCATCCAGGTATAGTGAAACTGTCCCTTTCCCCTGCCTGCCCGCTTTTAGTGTTTCTTCCCTCTCTAACACAACTGTCCGGCCTCAGGTTTTCTGCTTCCTCTAACCCACACAAATGCTCACTAACCGGTTTACACAGTCCATTCACCGTGCTGCAAACCCCTCACACGGATCTTGTGGGGCGTAGAACCTAATCATGGCTGACTTTTTGGGTGCTCCTCTGGGAGCTGTGGTTTTTCCCAAACCAGAGCTTGCTATAATGTGGTCTCCTCTTTTGTTGATGCGTTGGCTCGGCAGGACCAACTGTGGTCAGTTAAGAGCTGGGTCCAGACTAAAGGAGGAAACTGTTTATCATGGCACACAAATTGCGGCTCACGCTGAATAAAGTCCACTGGGATCCCGCAGCAGAGGGAAGATGACTTGGCAGGGACCCAGAGAGGCTGGTGCCGAAGAAGTTGTTTAAATTCTTTGGTTTTGTTTGTGTGATAGAGGTGTTTGATTTTCTCCTCTATCTCTGAGTCACATCTACTGTCGTTTTAATCTTGTCATCAAGTGAAGCCTCAGGTAGAAACAGTTGGGTAACTGATCATATCCTCGATTAAGACACTTCAAGCTTGTTAAGTTCAGCGTAAACTCAGATTACGAAGGCCCAGGATTTGAATGTAGTGATATTAATTTTGGCCTCGTTAGAGAGGCTGACACTTGTTGCCGTTTGATAGCCATATAAATGGAATACAAAAGGCCTGAAAGTGATTACTAAGAAAAAACACATCCTTCCTGATGGTGATGCACAATGTTTGGAAGCCATAGCAATCTGTTTCCAGATAAAAACGGTTTCTAGACTTGTTGACTTGCGGCAAATTCCAAGCACTTCTGCTTCTAATATCTCAATGCACCGGATCCTCAGAGGCAACTCCTTTGTTGGTGGATGGAAGGAATGAAGGTGTTTGCATAATCCTTCTTGAACTTGCTGTGCATGCGAATGTAGTCTGCATGTCGTGTTGTTCATCATTCAGTCTTAGTTTATTTGACAGCATGTGAACATCAGAGACATTCAAACAAGCCAGCTCCCACACGCGCACATGTCCGAGTAACTTTTGTTTGCTAATGTGTGTCTGCAGGCATTTGGGCCAGCATGCGCTCAGGCAGCAGACTCAGCCAGCACTCGTCAACATCTGACGTGGGTGCCAGGTTAGCGGGGAAGGATCTGGCGCCCCCTGCGGGCAGCAGCAGCCTGCAGGCTCAGCTCCTCAAGCATCAGGCGGCCCTTTACGTCTTTGGGGAAAAGTCACATCTAAGGGTGAGGATGACGAAAACTTTTCGGCAGTTTCATTGATCTGCAGTGGCGACTTCGGGAGGTACAGGTGGTGTGGAAAACATCTAGCTTTCTGAGTCGACACCTTTGAAATCAAACCCCCTTTTCACAGTTTCACACAGTTCTACATTTGTGATACAGTTTTTGTACTTGCATAACCTGAAGCTTAACTAGAAAAACCTTGAATGGTTGAAGGTCCAATTGAACTTCAGTGTATTTTTTTCAAAATGGATAAACCCACTGAAATAATATGATAAAAGACTCTTCCGTAATGTGTTTTGATGGGTTTATCTTTTGTAATTGGAGGTCCACAGCCTACTCGTAAGAGGACAGGGGAGTCACGCTGGACGCAGTCTGAAGGATATTCCTCTTGTCCGCAAATTATTTGCAGCCCAATTTAGTGCCTTCCTATAAGAAGTTATTTTTGGTAAAGAACCTATTTAAGATGATCTGAAATCTTGCTCAGTGCTTTGTTTCAGGCTGGAGCCAGCTGGAACCTGTGTCCCCTGCAGAGTCTGAGTGCCTGTACACACTTTGACAGTGCAATAAAAAGCCAAAGGCTTTCTAAGTGTTTACAGAGTTGTTGTTGTTTTTTGGTCAACATCAGACTCCAGTATTCATATGTTACATGTTATGAATCTTATAACTTGCCATTTAAGGACTCACAATACTCCAAAGAGTCATGAAATGCCACATTCAAACGGCAAAAAGTGCCCTAAAGCACGAGAAGTGTGTTTAACATTATACTCGAGTGTTTTTGATCATTTCTGCCCTTCAATGAGAAAAAGTGGGCAGTGAAATACAACCAATACCTTTAAAACCATTCACACTCTAACAAAGAGGAAGAAACAGCAACATCTTCTGTCCTTTTTTGTATTGGATTGTACTTGTGGATGATGATGTTTCCTGAATGCCTGCAGGGCCTCCGGTTGGACTCCTCTCTGAACTGTGAACTGGTGCCGGTGGACTTTGCAGACACGCGGCAGGTGAAAGCTGCCTTCAAAAAGCTGCTGAGGGCCTGCGCCCCCAGCGCCACCTCGTCTGACTCAGAGGATTCTTTCCTCAAAGCCTTGGAAGACTCTGAGTGGATCCTTCAGGTGACCTAACACACACACACACACACACACACACACACGCGCACATTACACTGCTGGGGTTCGTGCAGAAAAAAACTCCCCAGAGTCTGACTAAAGATTGTGTGAGAATGACCCAGCAGTCCACTCCTTCTGCTCATCCTGTGTAGCAGATCCACATCATGGATAAATTATGCGAATAAATCCACTCTGAAGCCAATTTCCCAAGGGAAGCACAAACTCAGTGATGGGCTAACAGCATCCTGGCTATCTGATTGACCCCGTGCAGCCATATATTGGGTACACGCTGCGGGAAAAAAATAGCATCTGTGGGAAATGATGTTTGCTCAACCGGTATTTTACCGGCAGACCAAATATGGTCATAGCTTCAGAATGGATTAATTGTGAGTGTGTTGCTGTCGGGGTGTACATTTGTTCACATGCACATATGTTGACCTCCCTCAGCTTCACAAGATCCTGCAGCTGGCGCTTTTTGTGGTGGAGCTTCTGGACAGCGGCTCATCCGTTCTGCTCAGCCTGGAGGACGGCTGGGATATTACCACACAAGTGAGAAAAATGCCTAAATACCTTCATGAGTTAGACAGACAGATGTGAGGAGGAAGCTGAACACAGTATCCAGAGACGGAGTAACGCCAGGCAGCGTGTGTTTCCATCAGCTTATTTTTCTACTAGCGTTTAGTTTGTGGATTTGAAAAAAAATCTGAAAGGACTGCGTGATATTAAAAGAACATAAAGATGCCGGTTGGTGGTGGTGGGAGAAGCTTTAAGAGCCAAACCTGCTGGATCCCATCGAAATCCTTTTTTTGGATAGTTCACGTCTTACCAGGAAATGTTTTTCTGGTATTTTAAAACTCTCTGTCCACATTCAGAGGAATGAAATGAAAGAACACTTTATTGATCCCAAATGGAACATATATAACACTTAGTTTGTTGCACAATTCCCCAGATTTTAGTCAAAGCACATTGCTATAAGTTTTTTTGTTTTGTTTTGTTGTTGTTTTTTTGTTTATTTATTTAAGCTACCAGTATGTTTTTCAGTGTCCTTCATAGAGAATGTCCCATTTAAAATCTTAGTTCCTCTTAAAGGGCTGACGCTTGTGCCTGTTTTGTTACTGCTCATCTTATACATTTACGTATACATTTTATCTTCATGAAGTCTCAGCCACTTCAGATCCTTCTGATTGTCATCCATCTGGAGTCTTGATGCAGATGTTCAGATACAGCCCACAGGGCCAACGCTATCAAAGATGATAACATCATTCTGTAATTGCACTTATGCAGTTAGGTGAAATACAAACTTAGAAACATGGTCCAATTTTGGTTTAAAGAGGGTGGATTTTGTGTAATGAAGGCAAGATCTTTAGCTAGCCCGACAGATGTACAGCTAGATGGCCTGTTGGTCTCATCCAAGGCTTATGCATCATAGTATACCAATTAATTCGACTATTGGTCGATGTGAATACTGGTGCATCATGCAAAACTCACACGATAATGTTTCTATACTGTCCATTATTGAAAGCTCAAACCATTAAGGTTAAAACCGTGTGGATGCCTTTCAAAAGCCAAAACAAGAGCAGCGGCTGACCTGAATGTGCACACAGCTTAACAGAAGCTTCTTACCTTTTCTTGTGCATGTATTGGCACATATATCAAAATATGCAGCACACTCTCTGTTTTCATCATTCAAGTGCAAAAAACAAACCGATTCTAATCTTTTGGTTTCTAGTAGTAAGAGGGATAGAAAATCCTGCGAGCTGTCAGTGCCGTGTAACCTCAGATAAACAGCTCTTCACTCGGAGGCCGCTCAGACAGTTCATTTTTACAACTGTACAGAAGAATCCCGACGTGTCACGCTTCATTGTTCCAGAGCACTTTATTGAGATTGAAAGCAGAAACGAGCATCTTAACGCAGCGTGTCCCGGTAGGCCATGTGTGGGTCATAAATCTGCTTTTCCTGCTCATCTTCTAATCAATTGTCACTGCTGGCCTGATAGGCAGCTCTGATAAAAGGCCTGAAGTCCTGAGGACTTACGTCAGCCAGTTGTGCTCATTTGTAATCTTGAAAGTTCACGGCTCTGATTTTGTAGGTATGTAAACAAAAAGTCTCCTCCAATCCTAATCAATTGTCAGTATCTAAGCATTTCGCTGCGTGTTTTCTTTCTGAGCTTGTGTTTTCCACGCTTAACCGGCACATGTTTGTGCTGCAAGCACATCCCCCTCCAGTGTTTACAGGCTCTGGAACGCTCTGGGCTGCTGTTTAAAAGCACAATTTGCAGATCCCTTATGTGGGGCACGTGTTCGGCCCGCAGCATCTCTCTCCGTGGGCCACCGGCTCCAACAGGCTAAGTCCCGATCAGCCCTCACAGGCAAATGGGCTCCATATGCTTCTGCCCGGGTTCATGGACCTTCGCCTCCCAGCAGACAGGATGCAAACAGTCTTTTTCTTTTCTTTCTTTTTCTACCTGCGCTTTTTTCGGCTTCTCTTTTCATCCCCTGCCCGGCTCATACCCACTCCCCTCACCTCTCACCTTCCTTTTTATATGTTCAGGAGCTCCGGGGGCTTTCTCTACCACTCAGGGCTGGATGTTCTTGTTAACCTCTCGGGGTAGCCATGAACAGTTTTTCCCGTTCATTCCACGCGCGTCAGGGCTCATTAGCTGCGTTGGGGGGAGACGCGGGCAGGGAAGCAGGCCAACCACTCTGCATGTACAGACAAGTGCCTCTGCACCGATATTTTGCAGAGCGTGCTTCAAGACTTTGTTGCAATATTGTATCAGTCATATTGATCGCAAATGAGCAGGTTTTGTCAGGCAGAGGGTCGGCTGTAGATTCTGCTCAGGGTTTTGGGGGGGGGTTAAAAAGCCAAATTATGTCCTGCAATGACACACATGACAAACTTTGTACTGCTGTGGCTAAGACAGCTGCCACTTTGCTTTGCCGGTGCCGTGATCACGGGCCCTCTCTGCCTGTCGACCCTTTCTGTTCAGAGGGAAACACAAAACCAAATGTCAAATGTACGGTTTGTTTATCTAAGAGCAGTGCCAAGTCCGCTCTATACATTGTATTTTATACTGTTATGAGACCTGTGTCATTACCATGATTTTAAAACTGGCCTCATCATAAAAATATCATAGTTCACTTCGAAGTCTCAGTAAAATCACCTCCATAGAATGTAGCTCTTTTTATTTGGTGCAGGTGTGCGAGTTAGAGTTGTGAAAGAGCAGGTCGTGCCAGGGCCGTGAACACCACGGTGCCCAAGAGCCGAACGAGCTCTCCCTGTTGTCGGACGTTGTCCGGCAAGGGGCTCGGGTCGCCCGTTCCTCTGCGGCTGTGGGCCGGCTCTCGTTCTGGTCCCTTCACCTCTCGTCTCCCTGCAGGTGGCGTCTCTGGTGCAGCTGCTGAGTGATCCCTTCTACCGGACCCTGGAGGGGTTTCAGGTGCTCCTGGAGAAGGAATGGCTCTCTTTTGGCCACAAGTTCAGCCAGAGGAGCAACCTGAGCCCCAGCAGCCAGGCCGGCGGCTTCACACCCATCTTCCTGCAGTTCCTGGACTGCGTGCACCAGGTGAGTTTGACTCCCGGCGGACTAATCAGACCCCCCCCCACCCCCCTCCAGGGGACTCCTCTCTGCTCTCACTCCATGACTTCATGGTGAGCTCATGAACAGAGAACGAGGCGAGCGAGTGACAAAGGTGAGCTCCGGCTCTCACTAGCTATGCCTCAGCGCTGTGCAGCGCCTCTCGGCTCTGGACGTCTGATGCTAACAGCATGTGGCAGTTTTTCTGGGAGGCTGCTGCCCAGATGCTCGCTGAACTCAGCACAGAGCTGCGCTCGCGTGTTTCAGCATCTCTTCGCTTTCACTGCGTGTTTGAGCCGCATGTGGAAAATTGCAGTTTGGCGGGGGGGAGTCTCAAGGAAGGCTTGGGTGTGCTTCAGGATTTCAGGGGGGGGGGTTAAGAATGAAGCCCGCACAGCTGAGGAGCAGAAGACTGTTTCCGTTTTGAAATGCTAACTTAAGAGAATGCTTTGGATTTATTTTATTTATTTTTTTTGTGTGTCCCCCGTGGTCTCACAGACCCACTCCCATGAACTTACATCAACACATAGTTTCTGCATTTGTCTTTTGAAACTGTAGGCTTGGCAGCTAAGACTGTTGGCGGCGGTCCTGGGGGGGTCTGGAGAGTTATTAAAAAAAAAAAAAAAGGGGGGGGGGGGGGGGGGGGGGGGGTACTGGGTTGAAGAGATTCGGATAAGAGCTCAAAATAGAAGTGCCTCATCTCCAAAACAGCTGTTGTTTTTGCCAGCAGACCCAGGTGGCCACAAGTATTCTGCACATCACACCACTGGACGGGAACAATGGAGCAGCCTTCATGCTGGCTCGGTCCAGATTGTGTCTGGCAGTGATGATATTACTGACCTCTGCCCTTGTGGGGACAGGAGACGCTCTTTCCTGTTTCTAATTTATACACAAGAGAGATGTGAAGCCACAAAGCACAGACACAGACTTTCCTTCTTGGCCTCTAACTGTCTAAATCCATCTTTACTTGTCCTTGCAGATCCTGGAACAACATCCTCTGGAGTTTGAGTTTAATCAGTATTATCTAAAGTTCCTGGCCTATCATCACATTTCCAACCGCTTCAAGAACTTCCTGCTGGACTCTGACTTTGAGCGTTTTGAGCACGGTCAGTGGCTTTTGCAGTTTTCAGCCAAGGAGGGGTATTTGTTTATTTCCTCCTTATCCTGAGAAAAGCACCCTTCACACTTAAACAGGAGAAGCCATTTAAGCACCGTTTAACACAACTGAAATTGTAAACAGAAACGAATGAAGCAGCTTTCTCAAAAAACATATTTATATAAATAAACAGGCATTCTTATTAACTTTTCATATCAATAATATGGTGTTAATAAGAATTAGCACAATTGCATGTGAGCATCTTCATTTGAAAAGTTGCTCTTATGGGATCTTTTGACTTAGATTTGATTGTGATGCACCAGTGGTGAGTTAATACAGCACATATAAGAGATGTGTAGAAAGATGTTCACACTGCTTCCCAGAACCAGAACCAGGACCCTCTTGTTGGATCTCTGCTTTTGGTTCTCGCTGCAGCACTCTGTGAGCTGAGCTGGCCCGTGTGTTTAAGAGCGTCCCCCTCCTGTGTTTCTGCAGGGTTGCTGTTTGAGGATAAAGGTGATAAGCAGGCCCGGAAAGGCATCTGTATCTGGGAGTGCATCAGCAGAATGCACCGGAGGAGTCCGATCTTCTTCAACTATCTGTACAGCCCCTCAGAGAACGAGGTGAGCTTTCTCTGTCGCCTGTCTGTCCCTCACAGCTAATTAAGGCCGCTGCCACTCAGAGGAGCTATTTCAGTATGAAGGGGACAGTCCTGCACGTCCATGGCTCCTGAATGATCCAATAAGAGTGCTTTAAATAAAAATAAAAAGTGATTACGTGCCGTATGTTTCTACAGTTGATGGGAGGAAAATCTAGGTTGCACGGCTTCAGAGTCACACTTTCTTTATCAAAAGGATCACATTGACCAGACAACACCTACTTTTAGCAGTTTTACCATCTTTAGAAAAAAATTAATTGTCGTGTGAATCAATCCTCTGCTGTTCTTAAGGATTTCTGTCTCCTGTTTCACTGGGAAAAGTTGAACTTGATGAGACTTTTGGGCCTCTCTGTGCAGAAGATGTTCAGATGTCTTCTAATGATAATATAATTGTACATATATTGTACAGCATTTTTACCAAGAGCAGGGCATAGATTGTTTTAGACCATCAGTGTAAGCCATGTTAATGTGTTTTTATTTACTACACTCTAGAGTTAATGCAGTGCTTTGTGATGCAGTTCATATCAGAGAGAGGTCTCCATGGATGTGCCACTGCAGCTGCATGTAGCAGCTTACTGAACATTTCCCTCCTAAATGCAGACTTTGTATGGACAAGTTTCCACTTTGTTGTCGATGGACTCTCACCGTTTAAACCCTCCCGCTTCCTGCTTTGCAGGTAGTCCTGAAGCCGTCCATCAGCATCCCTGTCCTGAGCAAATGGGAGCTCTTCACAGACGAGACCCTGTCCACTGGGCCGTGCTACGACTGGAGGATGATGGCTGTGAGGTCGGACAGCTCCGAGGAGACGGACACTCCGGCCAACAGCAAGAGGAGGATCGTCTGGCCGTGTTACAGCAGCGTGAGCCACGCCCAGCCGGACGCCATCACCAAGCTCCTCGCCGTAAGAGAATGTGACCTCAAATCGAATCTGTGTTGTTCTTTTGGATCGCGTGTCACCTTTTACATTTCTTTTCTGTTTTTGGGGTGGGGCTCTGATGCCGCAGGACATAGAGAGGCTGGAGGGCGAGCTGAATCAGGCCCCAGAGAAATGGCAGACCACTCTGGAGAGAGTCCGGCTCAGCATACAGGAAGACCTCAAGCAGGAAGGAAATGTGTGTTTTAGGGGAGGATGAATATAAATGTTTCCTAAACATATACTCCTTTTACTCTTTTTTAAATTGTTTTATTATATGTGCAGGTTTGCCTTCACCCTGATGTTCTGTCCTGTCTTCTGTCCCAGCTCCATCAGCAGTCCATGTCCATCTCAGGCCTCATTCCCACGTCCAGCCTGCAGGCCTTCCAGCGGCGCTCCATGCTGCACCTGCCAGACAGCGGGCTGGGCGAGGACCACAGCGCCGCCACCGCCAACGGGATCAGCCGCCGCGCAGCTACCCTCTACAACCAGTTCACCCCAAAGAGCGAGGAGAACAGGTGGGTCGTCAGCCTCCTGAGCCCCGGAACTAATAACAAGTACACATCTGATTCACTCACTGGCCGGCGTGGGGGGGGGGGCGGTCCGGTTTTGGGAGGTGACTCAGCACTGTGGAATGCTGCGTGTCATGTTTGTGAGCTTGGTCTGTGTTCTGTTAAACTCGGGGTGTGGGATCTTACGATTACAGCCAGGTTCAAGTACAAACTCTTGGCTCCAGTGTGTGGATATTGTCATCAGATCTCAAGAAATGGTCGTTAAAATTGACTTTTTTGTATGTTATTTCTAACGTTTTGCACGTGATCCTGATTTTTCAAATTCCAAATGAAGGTCGGACAGACAAAAAGTTTTCAGGGATGACGTGAGCGATCAGAAGTCTTTCAGTTATTAACGGTATTTCAATATTTAACTGTATCTTTATGATAAACCACTAATCATCTACCCATGTAAGATATCCCCCTGGCTGTGGCATTTAACCAGAAACGTCACACCTTCATGCAGAGGAGAAGTTAATCGAGGCTGTTATGTGCAGCAGATTTAATTTTTACAGGAAAACGAGCTCCACAGCTTTGAGAAAGCTGAAAGGAGACATTTGGAGACCGTTCCCGTCCTGTTACATAGTGAGAACACAATGTTCAGACGGAACTGGAGGTGGTCCATTATGTAAAAGCCGGCCGCTGGGGCCACGTGCTGTCCCGTTTTAGTTTTTTTTCCCCTTAAATCTTCTCTGCAACATACGTTGATCATGAGCTGGAAAAATAACCCTCAGAATAAGACACGTTGGTCCAGTGGTCACTATTTTGTAACCGGGTCCATCCAGAGAGCAGCATCCAAACATCTGAGCCCTGAGATCTGGTTTTGTGTGTTTTTTCTCCAGGTCTTATGAGGGGATCCTGTACAAACGTGGGGCGCTGCTGAAAGGCTGGAAACCCCGCTGGTTCGTTTTGGACGTCACAAAGCACCAGGTGAGCGGGCTGCCCCTCCTACCTGCTCACTGACCGCTGACCTTGGTCCTGAGAGACAAAAGCAGTGTAACGCCCTTCCTTCCGCAGCTGAGGTACTACGACACCGGCGAGGACACAAACTGCAGAGGCCACATCGACCTGGCCGAGGTGGAGTCTGTGATGGCCGCTGCGCCCACTATAGGAGCCCCCAAGCACATCAGCGAGAAGGCTTTCTTTGATGTGAGTACGCCACCGGGGAAATGAATTTAAAGCGCTTCCTGCTTAAGTCCGAGTCAAAGAAAACTTCTGATTTCACCCATCAGTAAGTTGACCGGGTGCCCTGTTCCTGTCAAAGTGAATCGGTCTCACAATGGTCAGCAGCGTTTCATCATAGAATCATATGAAAAGCCCTTTCATATTTGTTGCAATGATGTTGATAATTATGACTCAATCATGACATAATCACAGTCACAAGGTTTCCAGTTATGCTGAGAATAATTTTTAACTACATTAAAAGACGTCCCAAATTGGATGATATGTGGCCCAAGATGAGATCAGCCGGTTTTTGGGTGACTCCGATAGCACATTCATCTAGTTGCCTGATGTTTGTTAAAAACAGTAAAGGAGAGCCTCGGCTTTCTCTACTCTCCATTTCCACCTTTTTGATCCGCAATCATTTGTCAGCTCAGTTCTATGAAGAGGTCTGCAAAAATAACACACCCGTGTAGCTCCTCTCCAATCACGTTCTCCAGTTTGAAAGCTCAAAGTAAAACATCAAAATCTCAAAGTCCCTGTAAAACATCCCTGGATGCCAGGTTTTGTCATTTTCCTGCTGGGAGCAGCTTCTTCTTTAAATTATTTTGTGTTTTTGTGACAAAAACACAATAAATGTGCTCGAGCTTTGGATAGAAAATGTAGGTTTTGTGTCTTCTTTTTTTTTGCTTTTAATGTGTTTTTACCTGATGCCCTTGCAGCTGAAAACCAGCAGGAGAGTTTACAACTTCTGTGCGTCCGACGCTCCCAGCGCTCAGGTGTGGATGGATAAGATCCAGAGCTGCGTGTCCGAGGCCTGACCGCTGAGGCTCAATGGCACACCGCCGCCGCACCAGGGGCGGCCCAGAACAGAAACCGGTCATCAGCTCAGTTCAGCTTTCCGATTTTTCCTTTCATTTGTGGACCAAGGAGAATAAAGTGCCTGACGGTGGAGGACGGGCTCTGTCCGTCCACCTCTCCGGATGTGGGGCCGTCGTCCTGCAGGTGGACCGCGTCAGCCTCAGCTGTCGGCTCCCACTGGCAGGGTCCGAGTGAAAAGAAGATGAAGTTTTTAGGGGACTGCACTACTAAGGAAATGTTATCCTACTTAAGCTGTAAATAGATCAAAGCAATATCACTGGCCATTTAAAAACTGTGGGTTCAACTTAAGAAAATAAAGACAAATAGCTTGTTAAAGATTTTCTATCAGATATTTTTACTACGATGAAAGGTTATTGCTGCTTCCAAATGCATACGAACCGCCAAAAACTCAGAGAATCTTAAGGCACAACATTAAAACGCAGTTTGTTTGCACTTAGCGCTAAAGTATGCACTCCTTATCAGATACAGATTTTTTAACAGATGCAGACATCCAGGCTTAAAGTGCCCGAGTGGCGTGTCCTCATGGCAGATTAGATGGAAAAAGAATTTGCACAATGAGCTCAAAAGACATGTTTTTATTTAAATATGTAATGTTGTCACTACTTTGTTAAATGTGTATTGACTTCAGCTTAACACAGGCATCTCATGTCATGTAAATTATTCTTTTTTATTAAAAGTGTAACTGTGCAAGTGTGTTGGTTCCTTCTTTCTCTGTAAATACCTTTGTGATGTTTCCGTTTATGATACTCTATGTGCTGAGCTTTTCTAACTTTGATTCTAATGTGACTCTTTTTTTTTTCTATTATCTTTTTCTGTGTTGTTACTGGTGCAAATACCTGAGTGGCCTGTTCCCTTTTCGTGGTGAAACGTCCTGAAAGTGAAACCGAGATTTTTTGTTGTTGTTGTTGTTGTTGTTGAGATTGTCCCGACGGGCTGTGTGTCTTTTAAGGGCTTTTAAAGCACATCTCATGTGGTTTTCCGATCCTGATCTCATGTGTTGTCTGTGCTGCCTAAACTGCTTTTATACAACAACAAAAAACAAAAAAAAGCACAAAAGCAATTCAAAGATGTCATTGTCATTTTTTTGTTACTGTATCTTTGTACGTGGTGACACTTAAGTTTTGGAAATAAATCAAACCTACTTGAAAGCTTGTGTTTAAATGATGCATTTTCTTTCTTTCTTTCTTTTTAATTGTCACTGACGGGGAAAGGGTTCTCATACGTCACTCGAGTAAAAGAAGGGATCAGTTTTTGTAACTTACTTTGAGAAGTGATAATTATGCGTCACACGATCTCTACAGATCCATACAATTACTGTGGCATTGTGCGGCACAATGAACCCGAGTTCTCCGGTCAGGTCATTCGGAAATAATGTGAGAAAGTACATATAAACATTATGCAATCTTGTTGGAAAATAAAAGCTCCCAAACTAAAGCCTGAATTCCTCGAAGCACCATCAAACTGGCTCTTTAATAATAGACTGCAGCATCCCTGGAAAGTGAGTGCAGAAGACCAAAACAACCCGTCAAAAGAGCATCAATCTGAGATGGAACAGAGAGATCCAATTTGTAAAGAATCTGCGGAGCTCCGATTTAAACAGGGAACTCAACCAGAATCTTGTGGAGTCACCCAACAAAAGCACATTTTTAGTTTGCCTTTAAAAAAAGAAAAAGGCCCAGTTTGGGACTCCACACATACTCATAAAAACATGTCAAACTGAAATCTGAGCTTGTTCGCCATAAGAGCAAACAGCAGAGGACCGACTGGGCTGGGATGCTCACTATTGCCAGCAGCATGCTGTGTTTTTCAGCCTGAAAGCTGCTCAAAAGCTACCACTTCGTGGGACAGCCTTGAATCTAGGCCCATATTTATTAGAGAACAGGAGAGTCTTTGTTGTGATTTCAAGATTTCTCTGGAGATGGAGCAGTTTCTTAAAGAGAAATGGATACAACTCAGATGGGAGAACCTCATAGATAAATACAAGAATTGACTTAAAAGAAATTCAGTGTAGCTGAAGTTCTGCTGTTGGGTTCACCAGTGCAATTGTTGTGCATTCAAAGCTTTAATGCTGCAACAAACGCCAACCAAATGTAAATACTTTTGTAAGGAAAAGTGGACCCTGTACTGGAAATTCCACGAGCGGTTCAACTGGTCCAAGTTCAGGTGCTGAAACTGCAGCTCCAGCAGCAGCGCGGGGTCACCGTCACCGCCATAAAAACTACAGCCCAGACCCCAGTCTGGGTGTGAAGAGCCGGTCGGCCCTGCCAGAGCTGGGTCTCAGTCAAAGATCATTTGTAGCCAGAACTGGCCTGAATGTAAGCCAGCTGGCAGCCCGGCGAAATGGCAACTAAAATAAAACACCAGACACTTTATTCCACCAGATCTACCCATAAATCTGCCTCTGAATGACGAATTACTGCAGGGGATTATTTATTTTTTTCCTAATGCAACATCACCCCATTATTTTAAAGTATGGAGCCTCTGTCTGTGTTTTAAATGACTCCTCTGGTCACAAAAATGTTTAGCTACATGCATGATGATGTTAACGAACCATTCCCTGCGCCTTTAGTTTAAGAGATCTAAATATGCCTAATATTCTGTTCAATTCCATTATCCTGAACCTCAAAGTGAGATCCTGGATTAATTCCGACTTCATTATTATGGGGGGGACAAATTTGATTTGATTACAGAACTGTCATTTGTTTGTTTACCATCTCGCTCAGTGACCACAGCTGGTTATGCAAATAATTCACACATGTTTCATATTCTCCGTTTCTTTGCCATTTTGGCCACTCCTCCTGTTCCATCCGCTCTGATTTGTCGGGTATTTCTGGGCGTGTGTGCTCAGGTTTTGGTTTGAGGCCGCTCATTTGCTGGCTGGCGGCCACCGCCTCCACTGCGCCACACTGGCCATCGTCCAGGCCAGCAGAGGAGAGAACGTGCCCAACCTGAGTGATGTTAGACCTGTGCACTGGTTCCCACAAACATCACGCCACTGAACTCCGCTCAGATTCATGTGAGCACGGCCCTGAAGGGTCAGAGCGTGAGCGTAGATCATTCCAGCATCAAAGACCAACCACAACAAGTGAAACAATTGGCTGGGGAAATTTCGGAGCTGCGAGGGGCCCTTCTGTGTGGAGTTTCCACGCACTCCCCGAGCGCATGTGCGTGTTCTCTGTTTCCTCCTCTGTCCAAAAACATCTATGTGTGGATGAGTGGTGATTTTGAGATGGACCTGCGAAGGACAGTGAGTGGTCATGTTTTTCCGTCCCGTGATGGGCCGAGTGTTGCCCGGCCATTCACTGGCTCAGCCCAGCGGCACCGGAACTACGTTTGCACAGATACCGGATGGGATTCCACGCTCAGCTATATAACATCCAGCCCAGCGTCACTTTTTCATTCGGAATTCAACTGTGGATCCCTCAGTATCAGATCTGCGTTTGATTAAAAAAAACAGATTAAAAGAGGCCTTGGGCAAATCTCGCACTCCTCAAAAGAGGCCTGAAAAAAGTCAGACATTGAAAACGTCGATTTCTCTAACACCAATACAAGCTGCAATCAGATTTTCGTGCATCTTTTCATACTCTCTTGGATGATTGGGCACATTTGTTGTGTTCGTGCATCTTTGTTGTGTCTAAATTTAGACACCAAGCCGAACCTGAAATTCAGTTTCTTTTCTTAAAATGTCTCAGTGTCTTGTCCACAGAGGCGTGACCTTCTTATTTGTTTGAATCAATAAGATTTAGCATTTTTAAAGAAGGCTGTTGTGTAGCTAAGCAACCATTGCTTGGTATGACTCTTTTACTTTTTCCATTTTTGAATTCCAATAAAAAAAGAGCTTCAGATGCTTTCATTTTCAGGGATGTTTTCTCAGTACTGTGCAGCCTTTGGGTTCACTCCTGTCTCATTTCACTAAAAAGACTTCCCTCGCATTTTGGAAAACGCAAATAGAAACAGTCCTAACAAGCTGGCAGTGGTCGCCAAGCAGATTAGACTCAGCAGCAGGAAAACGGGCTGTTAACAACCTTTTACTTAACAACCATTTATTATCAGCTTTTCTGAATGGGGGTGTTTCGAGAACACAGATGATACACAGAATCAACCTTGAAATGTATTGGACTGAAGGTTTGAAGCTTTTCAGGCTTTTAAAGACCACAAAACAAAACCTGACAGACAAGATGTGACGTGATACATTACCTGAAATGTTAAATCCCGGAGAAACAACCCGTTTTTTGGAGATACTAAACCGTGAATATTTGTAGACTAATTTAAAAAGTTAAACTATTAACGTACTAACTGATCTTATACAGGCTCCTCGAGAGGAAAAATAAAAATAAGAAAAAGCACCAATTGGGTGCAGACTGGATGAGGCTGTTTCACTTTGGCTGTTCAGGGATCATAAGTTACCTGGATTTGGCTTATCTTCTCTTCCTTTTGCCAGAGGAATCAGGTTTACATTTAGTCCTCCTGTGTGGTGCATTGGTTTTGGTTTTACGTCCAAAAAAGCTGCAACACTAACCTGCTCCCCTCATCCTCAGCCCTACCCAGCCTTCGGCTATGGCAAGAAAGGTGTGGATACTATTCAATAACACGATGAACATCGTGATCTGAGTCAAAAGTGCACATGGCTGCTGTCTGTTGTCATTCGATGTGTCACAGGATACGGGAGGAAAGCTTAAACCGTTTTCTGACTGCCACGCTTTTCCGGCCTCTGATGAGCACTTGGTGTTTGATAGAGGTTTTTTTTCTCTCGATGAGAGGTAACCGGACACTCTGCCCCGGGCCAACGAGTCAGGACGAATGGTGTGACAGCACCGGGCAGGAGCCTCAGCCCTCGGTTGGCGCCCGGCTGGCGGAGCGAAGGGAGGACTCCTTCAAAAGCTTTCCCTGGGAGGAAGCTGGGGTCAGGGGAGGGCTGTGGTGGGTGTTTGTCCCACAGTTCCGTCCCGCAGCTGGCCCGTGCCGGCAGCAGGTGCAGGACCGCCACCGTCCAACATCTGGCCAGAGGCTCTGGCCCTCCCCTCCTTATTTAGCCTATTCGCTTTGGGGATGGAGATTAGAGCCCTGAGCTGATGGAGGGGGGGATGCAGCGGAAGTTATCCAGCAGGATCGTGTGGAATGGCATGTTGGGAATCACGTCCCCCCCAAGAGATGGAAGCGGTGTTTTCTCCACAACCACTTATTGATTTCACGTAGCTGCATTCCAATCAATCCAAACTCACTCTAATATGCTTTAAAAACGCTTTCAAGGATGAAAGAGTTGCACTTTTACGTAACACCTACGTGAGTTTCGGCCTGTTGCTGCTCCTGCGAGTGATTTATTTCCTCTGATGACAAATTACCGATGAAAGCTTCCACGATCCCGGAGGACCGCGGGGTTTTAAGTGCATTTCTGTGTAACAGTGATCTTGTGTAGCTTGGCTGCGTTTTTCCGCAGAGTTCAGTGATTAGTCTTACTCGACTGCAGGCGCTTTGCTTTCACATAAAAAAATACAAATCAAAAGCAGCCTATAAATTCCGGATTGCACGTATCTGCTGGTTTTGGAGCCTGAGTGCAGGCCCAGCTGTGGTAAAATGTTTTTTTGTCTGATGAAGCCAGTTGAAAAATAGCTGAGTGGCCTTTATGCAGACCCCCCGAAATACCCCAGTGACACATGATGATGATTTATTCCACGCTGGCCCTCCACATCCTATTATCCCTGTGGCTGCCGTGAATGTGAGCTATGGAGAACTCTTCGTTTCCTGGGTGTCTCAGCAGTGCGGGGCCGTGTGGATCAAAGCTGCCGGGGGCCGGTCTGCAGGCACCTGCTCACCGGCTTGATACGCTTCAACGAATCTTCATCTAGAAATCAGGGTGATGTCATCTCTCGGCGGCACACAAATCGACCGGGAAAAGGATGAGCGCACATCGAAACGTTTCATTTGCCCTCTTGAAGAATTCAGATGAAGGCTGGCTCTGACTGGTCTTTGCTAGTTTTCCGAGGTCTTGATGTTTTTCCATCTGTGGGTGTAAGTGACCTGCAGTTTGCCTCTGCAGCTGAGACCGGGGCGCTTTCAGCTATGTGAAAAGCTTCAAGGTCCCTATTGGAAGTCATCTAACCCAGGGGGGGGAAAAAAACAGGCATCTGCTAGACATTTTTTCACCAGCACACTATCCCATAAAATGTTCCAGTTATGATGAGGATGTTTTAGACAGGAATCAGATGAATTGGACATGGGCATTAGGATACTTTTCGGACACATGGGGCAAGGGTGAGACAGCTAGAGATATTCTTATACTTGGAATGCGGAGGGCTTGTGCAATTTAGCCACGGAGATGAGAGACTCCCAATTCTGAGAACTGTCTATGGAGTGGAAGTGAAAAAGAAAAAGGCGTCACATTTTTCTCAGATTCTGAGATATAAATATCTCCGAAAGAAATGTGAACAGCAAATCTGTTTTTCACGCAATGGGACTCGATTCAACACCGAGATGACCACAAACCAAATCTGCCTAATATGAGACTCTTTATGATGTGCCTGCGATGGGTCATTTCATGCATTAAATGCTGCGCTGTGAACCGCACAAACAAAGAGGCTGGTAAATTCCCTTTTTTATCACAGCAAATCGCATTCCAAGTCACAGCATTAGCTCATGCATTTTGGCGATTTGTCTCCATATCCGATGGTACCGGCGGCTGACCGCAGATGTCACTTCAGTTGCCCGGATGCAGGTTCTTATCTCCAGCGCCGTAAACTTGAACCTGAACTCGACGTGACCTCTCTCTCCTTTTTCTCCCAGCTTCTGTGGTAGAGAACGGGCGGATAGAGGAGGGATGGATCCGGGAAAAAAGCGAGGACGCTCATTGTGCAGGCAAAAAAAAGCGCCCGCATCCAACAGATTCGCCCATTTACCTGGTTCCAACCGCCACGGGAGGGTGGGGAAGACAAAGGCGAGGCCTACGTGTGAGAACACAGGCCCCTTTGTTGTAGAACCTGATTTGTTTTGACACTTGAACCTCACCACTGATGTTCTCGCGCATCAAGTGTTATTCATCTTGTTTTGCGATGACTGAAACAATGAAGTCATATTGTCCGACGGCTGCGGGCCTGCAGCACACCTTTGAGATTGATTTGCAGTATCTGGCAACAACACACAGCTTTCTAGTACTTGCTCACGCTCCTTAAACCCAAAACTTATCCCACTGCGCGCCTCGAAGTAGGCCTGCGGTTGACACACAATCTGCTTCACCAGGTCAACGCCGATGCGTCACACTGACACATCCAGTCTCACTTTCCACATTTAATCCGTCAGAGTCATTCAGGAATAAAGTCATTGTACTGTTTCTGTTGTCGTTAGTCAGCATGACGATAGAAACACCCCTTACAATCTCATTCAGAAGCCTTCGAACTTTTCACTGTCACATTTGAACTTCAGCGAATGCCTGAACTGTTCCAAGTTTCAATATTGACAAAAAGTTTGATGTTTTATTTTACTTTTTCATCCCAGAATCCATCTCTGTATCTGTTAATATACAGCTTTTTTTGCATTTTCGGGTCTCACATTCCTAAAAAGTTGGGGCAGTAATGCTTTGACTATGTTGTACCATTGCCATGCCTTCTGGGAACACTGCAAAAGTGTTCTGGCATTTAGGATAATAATGCATAAAGAGTTTTAGATGTTCATTTTTCTGCTTCATGCAAACCCTTCCTGGGTACTTGAATACACAAAGAATGAATGTGAGCATCCATGGTTGTCTGTCCCATTTGTGTCAGCGTGGCCCTCTGATAGACTGCTGACCGGCACAGGATGTACCGTTGTGTGACAGCTGGGATGGGCTCCAGCCCCCCTGCAATTCTACTTGGAAAAGGCGAGAACAGAAAATGATGGCTTGATGACTATAGTTCATTTCTATTGTGTAATGGTTCCAAAATCAAAGCTGCTGCTGGACAAGGTAACATAAAGCCTCTCGGCACAGAAAAGTTGAAAGTTGCATTTGTGAATATAACTTTTTTACAGCTTTCCCACTGTGATGAATTACCTTAGATGAACTATTGATCAGTCCAAGTGACTGACTGATTCCAGTGGCTGAACTTTCCCTTCGCAAAATGTCCTCATGGCTTAATGTTTTCAGCAATGTAGAGAACGATTGATGCTTTTCTCTTTTAATTATTTTATGATGACTTTTAAACAGTCCAATGACACATTTTCTTGACTTAACTGGAGGTCCTCCAACACTCTTGCAGCACAACATTTCAGCCTGTGATGGATGCTGCTTTTCTGCCATTACAATCAGATATTTACATAATCTCTTAACATTACCTCTTTTGTTCCTTATCACCTTCCCCCAATGGCTGTGTGAGATGGTAAAATTGACTTCCTCCCTCAGTCCAAAATATTGCAATTTAGGTTATGGTGACAAAAATATATATATATACAGTATATATATATTTTTCCATTTTCATTATGGACTGGACTGCTTTCAACATGTTAGGTTTCAAATCGTTCACATTAAGGCTATAACTTTTGGTATTGATATATTTTTTTTAATTATCTTTAAAAAAACATAATTTTTTAGATAAGACAGTTTCAAAACCCTCTTCCTTTTTTATCCTTCAATGACTACACTTTGGGTGAAGTTAGAGTGGGACATTACTGTAGGGACCTCAATATTAATTTTTAAAAAGCCCACTAATTATTTTTTCATCAATTTTTGTGGACCAAAAATCAAAACAAACAAACAAAAAGTCTGCTGTGTTAAACGACTTGTATGTACAATTAGTCAGAAGTCACTCAAATAAGTTTCCGAAATAAATGTAGTCCATTACTACCACCCTCTGGGCTGAAAGACTAAGACCATAAAAAGTTTTTAAAAGCCCTGGTGAGCTGGAATATTTCTGCCAAGGAGCGACACCTCCAAAAGAAACAGCCTAATCTGAAGGATCATTTAGGGTTTTTAACCATAAACTTAATGAAGGCTCTGAATACAAGGAAACAATTTTCCAAGAAACATTTTTGTTTCCTTGTAACTTTTTTTATTTTCCCCTCTCAATATTCAAAAAGTATCTATCTATCTATCTATCTATCTATCTATCTATCTATCTATCTAT